CGAGACACATATATTTGAAGCATTTGGACCCCGTAATGAATTTAAACAGGTATGTCAGAAGACAAGCACTGCGAGAGGAATTCCTTCCGTATACTCTCATCGGTCGCGCACGTATAATACTGAACAAGATAGACAAATAAAGGTATAGTCTACCCGGGTAGTGAAAGCACGCCTGTTGTATAGTCGAAGTTAACTAGGCCTGTTTAAGACTTGCAGCTGTAAACAAGGTGTGGTTTCTCACTCGGGTTAGCTGGGCAAGCACCAGGTCCCTTGTTGCGGTTGGACTATCCGATCGATCGATAAATGAACCCTACCGATCATGTGATCTTCGGGCCGGCATAGGCGGCGGATAAGCACTGAATTCGACGCTGCTTAAGTGTTGGTAGAGAAGCACCACGGGGGAATCAGTTGTGGAACGGTGAGCCATATGGAAAATTCGGAATGGAAAATGCTTAAACGATGACGACACGGGCTAACGTTTGACTCGTCTAAGATACACGTACTATTTTCCTAAGCCCTTTGGGGTAAACAGATAATCATAATAATAAAACTTGTCCTAAGTTCCGACTACAATATTCACTAATACATGCCAACGCAAAACTCTTCTTGGAGTTTTACTAACTGGCTTTTTTTGCGTTGAACGATTTTGTTAACTTCGGATGAAATAGAAGTCCGAAAGAAAGAAAGAACAAATAGTACGGAAAATGCATATTTATTTGTAAACGTTGTTCAATATGTTTTCCATCCTGCTAATGGAACAAGAATTCTTAGAGCAAATTACCGTGTTTAAAATGGTAACTACGGGAAAGGCGCATCTACCGTAGGACCGTTCCATGAATTATCCTATGGGAATTCCGAAGATTTGTTCCGAGTGAGACATTTTGTTGTATGTATATTACTTTACTGATACTCTTGGCGTTATTCACAATGAACAACTCCCCTCGTCCCGGCGCCGTTTTGTGGATTTATAACACCTGTATACGCAACACGCCAGACGGAAGATCACGTGATACAAAGGTCTTATTCATGTGATAGCCAGGGCCATTTTGTCGAACGAATTCGTGCACGAACGTATCAATACCAATGACTCACAGGGTACCACCACCACATGATATAGGGACGAATAGAACTGGATAATGAGTTTGAGGTACAGCTTGTTGCTTTTGAATTGAAGAATTGTTATATGCAAAGTTACTTTAGACTGACCAATTTCGTATGTCGGATATCACCAAAACAAATGAATAAATCGACTCTGATCATAAAGAAGGAGAGCCAGTTGAAAAGTAATTACTGAATGAATAAATCAATTTTGAGTTGAGTGCATGCGAAAGCAATTAAATTAAATTAATTGTAAACAGCTTATTTTTATATTTTAAAGAAGACTAATGTCCATTTTTAGGCCAAGAAGCCATAATTTTCACCCGACCTCAGAGTTCACTGTCGACAGAAATTCTTGAATATACGTCAGTGATACTATACTCTTTCCAGATGATGTCCGACCTGAAGGATTTTTCACTCAACAAATAACAACAGAATTTCAACTACTTCTTGTTACTCAGTAGTCAGTTGTAAATACATCCGTACATCACGTCCTCAAAGTACACGCATATCAAGAGGACTGCGTTCGAATATGTGTTCTGACTGGTCGGTTTGAGCATAACCAATTAACCTTTACGCATGTTGTTGTTCACGGATGTTGAATCCTTTACATGTAATCCAAGATAAATTTTCCGACGTTTAAAAAGGTATGTATAAACGGAATTATTTGTTGACTAAAATTTAGGAAAACGTTGGTGGGAAGGAATGATCGACGGGGTGAGTTAAAATGTACACATAAAAACAACTGGTCACCCGAAAATGGCTACAAACCAACCGAAGGTTAACCACACCGAATCAGAAAAGGGTATTCGACGAAGTCTCATGTATTCACACCCCACACGTCATTAACGCTCCATTTTACCTTATGATTTAGAGACCACGCTCTGTCAAATTCTATTCTCCACTGTACTAGGCTGCTGCATATGCTCAGCGACTGGAGTGAGCACTGATGAAATATACCTGCATTGGAAAAGTTGACCTGTTCCGATCCCTCGTCTGTGATTAAAATCATCATCTGATTACCATAAAAACAAGCAGGAACTTGTGGTTGTCTGCTACGCCGTAGCACGACAAATGATAAACATGGCTCGTATTACTAAACCCACGAGATCTCGTTTGGTACGTTAAAAATACACACTCGAATTCAGTTCATGAGCTTCTCCTAAATAAAAATCCGTCGGTGTGTTTGTGCTTTATTAGTTACTGTTTACTAGGACAACCCGGAGCACATGTGGAGCACACAATCTTAAGATGAACTTGCTAACGAGGCATTCATGAATCACATGATGTGAACTAGATTACCGAACAGGAATTTTTGCAAATGGTTTTATCACAAGTAAGTCCCTTTCACATTTAGCATGACATGAGTATGTAAAAATTCGGATTGGCTAAAAACTACAAGGAAAAGATCTATCTATTGGACGGCCATAGGACCGCTGCTACCAATGAGAATTCCAATTTCAGGGTCAGATAGGTCACCTAGCTGGAATCAATCTATCACCGATCCTATGTTTGAATTTGAGTTTTTTAAGTACAACCGGTCAACTAGCAATTAGTTGTTGATTTGTTTTATTCTTCGATCCAACCGGGTGTCACAACTGTCGCCATGGTGTAAGAATTTCGTGAAATATGACTGCCACACAAGTTTGATAAAAATGAATAGTTGTGAATCCCGGTTATATAACATAGGACAGGTACAATCGTATTGGTTAGATCCTTACGGCACTCACACCGCCGGTGACAATCCAGATTGTTTTCAACTGTGATTAACCTTAAATCTAGTCGCCCATGAAACGCCGCTTGGTAAATGTTCTCAGGCAGTATGGCCCCGATTATGAAAACGCGGACAGCCACATTGATCGAGTAACCGGGCATTAGATTCGAAATGTCTAGTGGTGCTTAGTGGACCACTACTGACATGCAGCACGAACCTCACAGTGTGTCACAGATCCGGTACTCCGATGGGTGAATTTTGTGTCCATGTCAGCTGCGTCGCATTGATTTGAACCGAAGATTTGATCATTGGAGGTAAGTGTTTCGCCGTTTATCCGAATATGACGTGATCTGATCCTGTTAACTCCATTAACAGTGACGATATTCAACACTTTTAAACGGAGTCAGCGAGATACTTGACTCTCTTCGATCGTTTAAAAGTTGTTGAAGATTCCATTTAATTCGTTCACACATGTAGTATTTCTTGCACAAGCATATCAATCACCTTAAACCTCCTCTTCCTGTTCATCAGCTAGTTTTGATACATCGACGGATCTTATCACCTCATTGCTGATACTTTGTCGTCACTAGTTCAACCAGATAAACACTTCATTTTCGTTCACTTGTACAATTTTTCTTTGCCTTAAGAGATACCTTGAAACAAGTCATACCTTTCACTCCTGACCCTCTTCTAGTACTCTGAAGAAGAGAAAATTTCCTCCAATAACTTGAATAGACTCAGGGATTTAGTTTTTCCCATAGACCTTTTTGTGTTCTCCAATACTCACATCACTTTGTCTGATAAACATCTTGCTGATGACTTTAATTTTTTCTATGACCAATGCTGCCCTGTTGAAACTATTCATATTCAAACTGATAGGTTTTCCAACCTTATCCTCAAGCGACTCTGTTGGGCTATATGAATGCCTGACATGACCGGTAGGTGCAGGTGTAAGAGGACTATCTGTTCTGATCAGAGCTGAATAAGGATACCCGAACGGAATGAAGGTCGAGGTATATTTGGGTAATAAAAGCTGTCGTAAGATGTAGGAACGCTGTGGTTCACATTTGAATTTTGTCCTAACAATAACGAATCAAATCAACATTCCTCCACTTTACCTTCCTCAAGCTCCCGCTCGCCTGCTTTTCCAACCCATGAAAGTACCACGTTTCTCCATACGATNNGATATTCTCCCGGTCTTGTGGGAATTCAAGGTCACCAAAGCTCACAGTCTTGATCTACAAGTACCTTATTTGTTAAAAGTCAGCTTCCAACACATACTGCTGAATTGTTCCGGAGTGATTACCGATAATTGGAGGTTGGCCCGAATTATACAAATCGCGAAGCAAGGATAGTCAATACATGATTCAATTGCCTGTTCATCTACGTTGCCGAAAGCTTTTGAAAGTGTTTTATTGCACCGTGTCATATCTCTAAATAACTGTCATGATCCTATACATTTGCCTACAAATCCCGTGTTATTACGTGACGCTGTTGCCCATATTTTGTGTTTTGCTATATCCAGGCAAAGTGCAGATACAGGTCGTTTGACTTTTCGTGATTATGCTAACATCTTGTTCGGTCTTTGGGGGATGTGCAATCGGAGACCTGAAATTTTAAATGTCTTAATTGGCTACTTGTCCCATAAGACCCACTTTATTTCATTAAATTGTACATTGTCGTCTTACCTAAATATCTATTCTGTTGTGCTTTTCAGGGTGAAATTACGTTCTCTCTTTTTTCCACGTGCACACACAACATCCTCCATTACCCTTAACTTTATTGCTTGCTAGTACGCTGATGATATAATGATTGCCCCTCCCCTAGTCCAGGCATATTTCATCTTCCCCAAGGCAGCCTTGATTAACGTCACGGTTGGTCTGCTGCGCGATTTCTTGTACTGAACAATGACAGGGGCATTCATGTTCCCTTAGGTCTTCAAATCGGTCCTCGTTGTCTTGCATAGGTAAGCAATCTGCCGGGTCTCACATTCAATCGTCGAAGCACCCTCAAACGTGATTCTGTAAAATGACTCGGTATCACTCACTCTCATAACATGTCCTGATCTGCTCAGATTATACCTGTTTTTAGAACTGTTCACTCACAATCCTTTTATGCATACAGGCTCACGAAACAAGTCGTTTTACATAACGTTATCCTTAAATTCATGATTGCCTGAATCCTTCTACACTGGTTTTACTGCTCCCCGATATTTATCTCTGGTTTGATTGAAAGTGGTTTCACTTTTCCTCCAAAACCCAAAACCTTTTGTTCCAATGCAGTGAAATTGATAGCGTTTTACGTTTACAAGCCTTCCAACGCCTGTGACAAGATTATTGATAGGATAACGCTTGACCAAGGTCATTATCTGCATAGAATTATTGTAGTATGCCGGACGGACCCCTGTTCTGTTTCCACTCGAAATACACTAGCAGATTGATTCCGGTCTACGCAGTCCGAGTTCTCATACAATCATCGTCTTCACAAAAGGCCGCGCAATACCTGGCCACTCACTGAGGCTCACAATACACAGGTAGGACACACTTTTCACAGTAGGTTCTCCGTGGAGAGGGGTGCTTCCAAACGACCTATAAGACAGGGAAAATACAAAAACAACCATGAACCAAAAGGTCCAGTAAGACATGTACACGACTCACAATCAAATCAGAATGGCTGATTCCGTGTCTTCACTACAATTATTGTGAAAAATGTGTCCAATCCCCGAAATGATTCGAAATATCAACTGTTTTTGCACGTATATTTTTATACAGAAACGGTATCATTCCACACCTGGCTCGTTTCTATGCGATTGCACGGATCTTGTCACCCACCTTAGGCAAAGATTCTTGCATGAGAATTTGTTCTTTTACCATAGAATAAGAATTATTTTCTCTTATTGCAATTTATGTATATCCAGTGTATAAATTCGTAAATGGCTGAAAATTCACCCTTTGTGTAAATAAAGCCTTTATTGGCGTGATAATTAGACTTTGAATATTGTTCTCCTACTCAAGCACCACCATTACCAGCAAACCTCCTCTTCCCCGACACCCACCACCAGTCTTGACTGCAAATTCCACTCGTGTTGTACGTTCACTGCTTGTTAAATTTACTAAGAACTTTGCTCAGATAGCCTTGTTCTGGTAAAACTGTTCTTCAGTTCGATTATTTTGTTCATACCATTACAAAAACGAATGCTTATGGCATCCACTTTGAACCAACCCGCCGACTCTTCACTTACCGCTTCATGCCTATTTTCAATGTATCTACAGTAGGTCGGAAGAACTGAGTGTCCAGTGTATATCAGGATCTGAAAGCATGTACTTCCAAGTATCTGGTGCATAAATGGTCCAATTCTAAGTTCAGTTGCACTTCATCTGTTAGATACCAACCGTCTATAGTAAATGGCGACCTAGGTGACGACCGTAGGAATACGTTGCTTATTATGGTGCTCTAGAAGAGCAGTTATTCATTACTGCTCGCACAGACAGGTGCTATTCGATATTGAAAATTCGATCCGGGTGTAAGCAAGCCGATGGCATGACTACCATGGAAAGAGTGTGAGTGGCCCCAAGTTCACCGTTTACGATCCCCGCACCTGTACACAACCCGGTTCGTGTTTCCGTGACCTTTGACCTCCATGTAGCTTTTTTCCGCCTATGATCGCTTATTCACAAAGCTGTCACTCTTTTAACCAGACGTGTTTCAAATGAATCTATACACAAATGATGAGGTCACCTCACTGGATGGTACTTCCTGGGATCATGCTCCTTCTCTTTGCTCTCACGATAACATTGAAGGTAATTGGGGGAGGGGGCGGGGGCGGGGGGTATGAGACCTTAAACAAGGGCGCATCGACCTCGTCGAGGTAAGGGTGGGTAGCGTGGTTTTCAGTGCCTACAAGAGGCCGAATTAAATGATGCTTGTCGTTAGTAAGACGCTTATTGACCAATTGGATCATCGGTTGCCGAACCCGTTCATAACATGCTCACAACGTGTCAGGGATCCGCCAATACCGTAACTAAAAGTGCAACAACATTCTCATACCCTGGATCGGTTTTTGCGCTGTCTCCGAGATTCATTGGCGGCAAGCCTTCACAGAGTTAGACCTATTCTTTTATCCTGTGAACAATGATCCACTAAAACTAACAAAATTATGGTGCAATGATTGCCATTTGTCTCAGTGATAAACAAAAGGATAACTTTACATGTACACATAAGACTGGAGGTAGGGGGGGAGGGTGAGCAAAAACATTCTATATGCAACTACCGGACGAGAACTCGGAGGTGACTTACCATCAATTTATTAGGTTGAGTAAAAAGTGGGTCAGTTGCACTTTTACGTTCCTCAAAATAGACTGCAAACTTTGTATTAGGTATAATTGACGTTGTTGATGATAAGAATAATGAGCACTCAACGGGAGCATGATTCAACTTGATAGTTTGTTCCGGAATCCGTGTGTGAAGATGTTGTTAAGGTTTCAGGAATTTCTTTGTCTGACACACCGTGGGACAAATGATCCCCAATACGTGTTCTTCATTCTGAAGAGGTTGAGTGCTTTTTGTGGAAATGCGCATCATTAGCTTCTGCAATATCGTTTCTGGAATATCACGATAAGCTTACCAATACATGATTAGCACTGGAACACGTTTTCGTAGATCCATTTTCCCATTTAATCAGGGTAAGTTAAGTCATAAATTGCTTTATTCATCGCAATGCACGCCGGGGTCAGTGGTCATCACACTCAATCGCACACGGTCGTTTAGAGCGGCGTAATTTAAAGAGCAGAAGATGGCGTGAGAATGTGAAAATGGATATCAACTGCCTTCGGTTTGTCAAAAGTTTTCTATGGTTGATGCTTTCTTTGTCAGAAATCTGGAAAGACATGGGACAAATGAAAATGGCTGTGTGAAGTGTTCTGAGGATACACATGTTTATAATGATACCGAGTTACGGAAGTGGAACGCATTGTTTAAGGTCTGTGTGTATTGATCGACGGACGTCTGACAGAACGATGTTGCTGAAGTTTTCTCAAAGGGGAAAGCAAAGGGAAGTAAATTCAAATAGGGCGCACCGCTTTTGGGTGAAGTTATTCTAACAGTCTGACGTGGAATTGTATAATCTTGAACTCGAGAACCAGTGAAAAACACTTGAAAGTAGAAAAGAAGGTGATTACCAATACAAAAATATGCAAAACAGGAGAGTAAATACAGTGGAACCTCTAAAGATCACAAACGGGATCTAAAGAAGCACAATCGTCGAATCCTTTTCAGGCGCAGTCAATATGCGAAACCCATGTGATATCTTGGGAGATACAAATATCTATATTTATCGTGACAGTGATACCGCGCAATTCGAAACACGTCCTGCGTTATGGGCGATTTAAGCATTAGAGAACGCACTCGGAGAGGCGAAAGTGACGGTTACGTAATTGACGGTCAAACCACGCGCCCATCATGGTTGTGCATTAGGCATTTGATTTTCTGTCATTGTATTTGGTGTCCTTAGACCAATGTACGAGCAGTCCATAGATCAAACTTCCCCTGAACGTGTGGACCAACTCCATAGACCTTCGCAAAATGTTGAATCATCTATTGCTAAGTATTCCGTTTACGCGAGATGAACGACAGTCTAACTCGAGTGTACCTCCGTGTCTTGTGTACCGTGATTTCTGTTCTTTGATCCGTTTAAGTAATCCACTTGGCACTGAATCTGTGTAATTAGCTCCGCAAGTTCACGTACACTGATCTCCGTGCACGGATGACCGTTTGTTCTCGTTAGGCTGACTGATAGTAAGCGATGTCGTGAGAGGCGGGCACCAGTAACACTGAACGTTACATCCATTTGGTTAAAAAGCTGCATCTTTCTTGAATGGAGGCCGACTATTGAAAGTACTCTTCCACTGAATTCCTGTTGATCTGTTCATGGAAATGGAATCGACAGATTTTCGTGTTGCTATTTATGGCCTAATTTGCTAGAGCCATGTGAGCCAGCGAATAGAAACTGAATTATCCTTCACGGTGTCCCACTGCACGATGATATTCATCTTAAATTCTTAAATTCACGTGTAGGGGTTCCGTGAGAGGAGTTCTTCAATGGTGGAAAAGAAAAAATCGGGAAATATAATTATCCCACTCTAGCTAGGAGTAACATTACAGATAGGGTTTATAGGAAACCAGATGTAATGTACTGTTTTCCCGGTTTGCAATGAAAGATTTTCATTCCGGTATCGATAGTAAAATACGATTTAATCTGCGCTAGCCGATTGTGAAATTTGTAATGGAAATTTAAATACACTGTTGGTCAGCTTCTATCGATTTTGAACTTCGGATGTTGTCAACCTAGTGCTCCAGACCTGTAGGTGAGATGTTTATTGATACCCCCGGGAACAGTTTCAATTCTTGGTCTGAATGAGAAGTTTTGTACTGGAATTTGATCGCAATTTGACCTTTCGTAGAAACGGTGTTTTCGAATGCCCATCAAGTCTACTAGGGTACTCTGATACACGTCAGAAAAATGTTGCCCCTGGATTGTTCTCACCGGATACTTTGTCATTCAGGACAATTGCACACCATCGCTCATACGCACATAATACTCGGGTCAATCAGTCAATGGGATCTGTTAGCTCAGTCAATTTCGGTTGCTTGGTGACTAAATTACATCCAATAAAATGCACTTTTTGGCACCGTTACTATGACGCATAGACAAAAGCGAGCAGCCTCGTATCCCCGCGGGGTTGTTCTTTTCTATTGAACATTCATAGACAGCGGGGATCACGGGGAAAAGTGCATTCTATAATTCTGAACATTATTTGCGTAGCCATTCAAAGAAAAACCTATATAAATTATAGTAGTTCAGGCTAATTTCCATTCTGGTCGGTTCAGTTGGCTCAGTGTCTTTTTTATCAAGTCCGTGACTTGTTCGTTGTCTGCTGAAAAATGGTAAGCGGAATCTATCTCACTCACCTTGCACTTTTCTTTAGCGTGAATGTATCTCTGTCCATGTGGGTCAAGCCGGTGTTCAGATCGGGAATGCCTGTTGGGAGCTGTACTGTCTGGAGCACGGAATTCAACCGGATGGACAGATGCCCAGCGACAAAACGATCGGCGGGGGAGATGATTCATTCAATACGTTCTTTAGTGAGACCGGAGCTGGTAAACACGTTCCCCGTGCGGTGTTCGTAGATCTGGAACCGACCGTAGTCGGTAAGTCGTTTGCATGGTGAAGCAGGTTCAACGGGGTCGGGATATATGAAGTAGTTTATCATAGCTGCAACAGTTCTCTCAATTTGTTTGCTTCTAACAGACTGCATAGCCAGTGGTCCACACTTTGAGAGCATGGATGCATTTATTAGGCACATTCTCATTCATGAGCACCAGATAGTTTTCTACCCCAATACAACTCCTTTCCGAATGTAAGATTAGGAGAGATTAGATTACTGTTTAACTTCCTCTACGGCAACGAATCAAAATCACTTTGGTTCGTTATTTTTGAAAACTGGTCCATTGAAATCCAGTGCAGTGCACTATGATCAGGTCCGATATTTGACTGGACTACTATCTTATCAAATACTATCAAATGCTGATGAGGGATATTCAAAATTCGATAATGTCCGCGTGGATATCTCATTTGTTCTGATCTGTGTTTGCAAATGCTATTTCTCTCTCCTCTGTCTGTCTACGCAAGCTCACGGTTAACACTGTCCAGCCCCTCTATCTCGCTTCTTTCACAAAGATACGGATTTGCGGTCTGTAAAAGAAATCGAGTTGGGTTTGTTAGATCCAGGCAGGAACCAACATCTTTTGTTTATCAAGCTCTCGTTCCCTAGCGATAGCTCAGGAGAGGGCAGTACACGTTCAAAAGAACAAAATTAGGGAAAACTCGATGATTTTCACTGAAAGTATCAAAGCTACTGCCTCTCGCAGGAGCCTATCTGATATATTCATTATTCATTACTACCAAAAGCTGACAGTTGCAGTGTGTAATAGAAAAGAGAATGATTGAAGTAAAGTCTAGGTGAGATGACTTGAAAAGGCAAGAGTAGTTCTTCAGTTACAAAATTACTGAAATGAAAATATTGAAACAATGACCGATTTTTGGGTTCGACAATTTTAATGCAGCAAAAGGTCTTTTAAGATTCTCTCAATTCCCTGTCCCATTTCAGACGAGGTTCGCACAGGCACCTACAGACAATTGTTCCATCCGGAGCAACTGATCACTGGCAAAGAGGATGCTGCAAACAATTACGCTCGGGGTCATTATACAATTGGTAAAGAGATTGTAGATCTCGTGCTGGATCGCGTCCGTAAATTGGCTGACCAGTGCACGGGACTGCAAGGATTTCTCTTATTCCACTCATTCGGTGGAGGGACCGGATCCGGCTTCACTTCACTGCTCATGGAACGTCTGAGTGTGGACTATGGGAAGAAATCGAAGCTGGAGTTCGCCATCTACCCGGCCCCACAAATCTCCACCGCTGTGGTTGAGCCGTACAATTCCATCTTGACCACACATACGACTCTGGAACATTCTGATTGTGCGTTCATGGTAGACAATGAGGCGATCTACGACATCTGCCGGTACGTTACTCACCATTCTTTCTCCCTCCCGGTTTCGTTTTCTATCGTACAAACCAGTTTGAATATGGAAGCTATTTGTTTGCATAAGTAATATGCATTGATGATTTCTGATCAACGTTTTCCGCTCCCGTTTTGTGCAACAGGCGAAATCTGGATATTGAACGACCGACATACACAAACTTGAATCGATTGATTGGACAGATTGTGAGCTCGATCACTGCCTCGTTGCGATTCGACGGCGCGTTGAATGTGGATTTGACCGAGTTCCAAACCAATCTGGTTCCGTATCCACGTATCCACTTCCCATTGGCCACTTACGCCCCGGTCATCTCGGCTGAGAAAGCCTATCACGAACAGTTGAGTGTGGCCGAGATCACCAATGCTTGTTTCGAACCGGCCAATCAGATGGTTAAATGTGATCCGCGCCACGGTAAATACATGGCTTGTTGTATGCTGTATCGTGGTGATGTGGTCCCGAAAGATGTGAATGCGGCTATCGCGACAATCAAGACGAAACGGACCATTCAGTTTGTGGACTGGTGTCCGACCGGATTTAAGGTAGGCATCAACTATCAACCACCGACTGTGGTTCCCGGTGGTGATTTGGCCAAAGTGCAACGTGCCGTGTGTATGTTGAGCAACACGACCGCGATTGCCGAGGCTTGGGCGCGTTTGGATCACAAGTTCGATTTGATGTATGCTAAGCGTGCATTTGTGCACTGGTATGTCGGTGAGGGTATGGAAGAGGGTGAGTTCTCTGAAGCGCGTGAGGATTTAGCCGCGTTGGAGAAGGATTACGAAGAAGTTGGTGTGGACAGTGTGGACGGTGAAGGTGAGGGTGAGGAAGGCGAGGAATATTAGACCGCGGTGTGAGGTATTTGATGTTGTCCGGTCGGAGTGAGACTGCCTGACGCACAAACATGCAGATGCGTTTGTGTTATCTTTTGTTGGAAATGATGTGGACAGATGTTGAGTTTTTCAATAAATTTTCACCAATATTACCTTGTTATTCTTCACGTTATTTGATATCTACGATGATTCCGTTCATGGCATTTGTATTTTTAGTGGACTTGTTGGGTATCATTCTCATGAGCTATCAGTTCATCTGGTTATTTTTGCCAATTGAACTGTTTTAGCTGGTATTTGGGTAAAATTTACTTCAGCTTCACTATGCTGTCTATGAAGACGAAACCCTCTTATAGTTTGTTATCATACATAAAACATCAAAACAGCCAAATCGTCAATTTTGAGAACTCTTTTGTTGGATGAGTGTATTTTGACATTAGCAATGGTACAGATGTAATTTTATTGCTTGTTTACCTGGAAGATTCAAAATATCATCACGGATTTCTGTACGAACCGGATGTTTTCGTTTGCCAGCAAAAGAATTTATTGACTATCCCTAATACATGTGCCAAATTTGGTCAGCTGCATTTCGGGTATTGCATAATGTTGTTGCACCGTTTGGTTAGTCGCTTGGTGGTCCTTACTTCTTGGTGCGCAAATAACAATAATTGTGGCCTTCCAGATAAGGTGGACCACATCACTACCGATAACGTTCGTACCAGTCCCATGTCAGCAATTGTGTTCAGTGTAGACCATTTCCTATCGGAATCCCGATAACGAGAATGAGAGACAGAGATAGTAGTCAAAAAATGTGGACGACGACTGTATTGTGAAAATCTTTAGAGCCCATTAATATGGAGAGAGTCAAACGAGAGAGCGTGAACAAGAGGAAAGGGGAAGCCAGTTTGAGATGATCTTACAGGTGTTCTCTGTCTGGTAAGACAACATTACACAGGAAAGGAATAGTACATGCATGACGAAGGTATTTAAAGTCAATAGATCAGTAAGCAACCGACGATAATCGTGATTATGATGCGTGTGAATGGTACCGGTCTATCGCTAGAAGGTGCTTTGGAGAACTTATTAATACACGTTTTCAGTTTGATACAAAAACTGCTCATGAATTTGCAGACGAAAAGATGTAAATCTGTAAAGTTGATTTGAACCACACACACAATGAGACAAAGTAAAGGCAACCGGTTGGAGGAAGCCTAAAATAGTAGTATTTAACAGCAAACCTAGAAGCAGACTGGGCGGCGTAAACAATATGCTGGAGAAAGATTGCACGATGTGTGTTCAAGAGGATGATCAATAAAGGTTTAGAAGAAAATAATGATTTTCGTGGCATTGAATTCACGGATGTACTTTAAAGAAGCCCGTAATATGTCATTCACCTATAACCAATATCTCATTGTCATTTCAAGCTTTGTTCGATCGAGGTTTTGCTTATTGTGGTCTATTGAGAATTTTCTTTGGGGATCTTTGCAACAGGCAAACATCTTATATGATGAGTGAACTCCAGAACGTATCACTCTTCTGGTATTTTGTTATGTGAAACCGTTTCATGATCATTATCTAAGTGGAACCATTTGGTATCTTCATTCACATCTGTTCAAGCAATAATCTGCTGTATCTCACCCATGCGAACTCGCATTGTCCGATATTTTCCCACATTTTTGAATACCCAAACTAAACCAACGCGTAATAGCGTATTCCCGGTTTATGCAATGACCCCTCTCCATAGTATCTAAACATTACTGGGGCTTTTTTAACATCTTGCGGTGTACCGGTTTGATCACTGACCAACCGACATGCAATGTCACACTCAACCAATGAGGTTTCACCTATTGTGACACCTAATTCACTGATGGAATAAGTCTTGTGAGAACCATACACGGATGTTTTTAGTTGGACAAGTTACTGCTGAGAGCGAGAGAGGAGAGTTGATTATGCTGAATCAGCCAGTTATAGCTCGTTTTCTTTTCTTGTGCAGTCTTTTGCATGACCCTTTATAAATTCATGTTCAATCGAACCATCATCAGACCGTTTTTCTGATTGTCACACAGAGTCTGAGTTTCTGTGAATTGTTGTAGAAAGAGGTACACACGTTTTTCTTGGTTTGAATTGTTTGTAAAATGTTTTTTGCTCCGTTCGTCTCACTGCCTGGGCACTCGGGCTTGGTTTGGACGTTTTTGGCCGACAAGTGACTTTCAACACCTTGCGAACGGTTCACCGGATAACAGTGGAAGCAATGAACGTGTGTTGCACACAAACAAACAGATTGATATCACTCTTCAACTTGTTGTCATCACCCTAGTGCTTCCCTCTTTGAACAGGTTGATGTTGAGTCATTGTGTTTCTAAAACGAAGAATGCCATAAGTACTATTCCGCATTGAATCCACTGAATTGACCTTTCCTTGAAGTTTACGAGCAAGCTGTAAACTGACGAATGCCCTCTGCTTTCTCGGCGCCGTCCGTAGCTCCGCGACCAATAAATTTCACTAACCTGTGGCTCGGTCTAGTGGAGTTGAAACACAAAATATGACTTATGAAACAATGAACAATGTAACTGTTGTAGTACTTCGTTTCTCGTTTTTGTAGGAAAGCGTTTTCGACCACGTCAGAGAATCGAATAAATATCGTTTGGTGATGGAATAAGGCAAAATTTTCTTTGAAATTCGGGAATTGGATTTGAAAATTAAGCATGTAATTTTGGGATAAACGGTGTTAAACTGATCCAGATAAACATTTTCCAAATAGTGTTCAAATATTCAGCTGAATGCATCATGAAAGATTCCAATTTTTTGCTCGAACAAAGCTACCTTAGGTTGTATATTTAGAACTCAGCCTTAAATAAACGGTCAGCAATCACCGCAAACGGAAGGACATAATGAATGTTAGGTAGCTTTTATCACTCCTAATCACTGTGCCATAAATATACCCAGCAATTTTTCGAGCTACTTAAAAATGTAGAAACTAATGATCAATATGGAATGTTGCTGATACTGGAATTTATTCATTCTTTCGAATCTTTGAGGGATGCAACAGAGAAGGAAATTGACCATATTTTGGTCATTACAGACTCAAGTGTAGATCGTCTATTTTGGTACTTGGACTGAGGGCAGCCAGAATGATTCATCTGAAGCCCGTCGAGATAGACTCCAGGTGCAATTATGGGTACTCAGAGAACAGACGGTCAACAATGTACTGCAACACTATTAGTTATGATTACTGTCGTAATGTCGGAATAATGTCGTCGTAAGGGAAGTTGTTCATTTTATGTTGACTGACTGTTGTGAAGTAATAGTTAACTTGAGAATACTAAAGGACAGAGTTTCAAAAAGACAACAAATCATCGTCACCGTGAATAGTGTTCATGACTCGCTTGTTTTAATTAGCTTGTTTTGGAGAACTCGGAATTGTTTATCGAATCATCGCCTATTCACTAGTGATCGGAATTGGTAGTAGAAACATGGCGAATTTCCCGACTGTTTAGATGATACGGATGTGAGTGTGACCAATATTGGGGGATAACGTGTTGGCAGATTGACAGGTGCAACATTGGTTTTGGCCAACTGTTTTATCCTAGGTGCCACTCAAGATTATTGAGCGAATTATTATCTTGGCTTTTTCTCCTTCTGTTGAATCATGTGATTCCAACCAGATTGCCTGTTGTAAGCGTCTATCTACTGTAGATTCAGAGATTTCCTGTCTTACAGATTCTGTTTTATCCATAATCAAACGAAAACACGGAGCTGTTCATTTTGGCTTCCGGGACGGGTTTTATTTTTATTTTGACATTCAATGACAGTCACAGGTCTGGTGGATCTTTTGGTCTAGGTAAAAACGGGTTCGTGTGTTAGGACTGTGAGGTCATGCATAATTTGTGAAGTACAGATACAGGCAAAGAAGAAGCACAGTTGTAGCGTTTCACAAATTATTAACTTTTTGATAGAATACATGTGAACTACCATTAACCATGCATTTGTAACCAAAATATGATGGTACAATCACCTCTATCGTTCTTTTGTGAGTTCAGTGCGTCACTTCCGGCTTGCAGTCCATTTCGTATGTGATGTAATGATGTTGGAATATTTTCAACTTACACTACACAACGACTACTTAGGAGCTTTACGTCGGGTGAATAAGACTAAGGTAAGAGCTGGTTTAATTAAATCACCAATCAGAAATTGAAGGTATGAAGCTTGTGGTCTGAACGAATTAGAGTGTGGGGTTTGCTCTCTCTCTCTCTGTGAGTGTATGGGAATCTGTGTATATAGTGTTAAAATTTGAACGAGGAAGTTTACATACAAAGAGTATAACTGGTAAGAACTACCAGTGTTTTCCTGATTTCACTTCGTCACAGTGCGGGAAAACCTCCAGGGGGAAAATTTAGTTGGATCACACTGGATCGATCTTGTGTGGTACAGTGTGTCAATAACGCACTAGGACAACACGTAACATTGGGCTGCGCATAATTTTTTATACATTTCAATGAAATTGACATATTTTTCCACATTTTCCTATTTTTCGGTCACTTAGCTTTTTCACACTCTATGGTGGACCAAATTCATTCAACAGTTCACATTCTCATACAGAAGGCTTGAGGCTGAAAGTATTCGACAAGCTGTTTGACTTTCTCAAATGTTTCGGGATTGTGAGAAGTTCATTAGCCTCCGTGGGATTCGAATCCACGCATGGACGCCGCCTACGCTTTTCTACAGCGCACGCCCTACCAACTGAGCTGCGAGGCCACACCAGTAGCACTGATCTTTTCACATTCAAATTACCCATCCAAATTACAGAGACGTATGGCATTCACCAGTCAGCATGTAAGCTGACTGCCCCGTAGGTTGCTTGTTACTGACTTGTTACTGAACCAAAAAGAAAAGAACACTCGTGGTTGTCGGAAGACGTCTATTGGCGTATCGTTGTACCGAATATCTGTCTGTGTTGATGTAATAATCGAATAGGAACCGGAATTGAACAGCGCGAACTTGAACTCGGACTGA